CTTTAATGTTGCATCTGGCCACTCCAAAAGAGGCCCGGAAGTCATCGATCAGAAACGGGGCCTTTTCAGTAGTGGCCACTCTGCTCTGGAACTCTTTTCCTGTGGAGGTTCGACTGGCCCCCACCCTCTGAGCTTCCACAAGCAAATAAAAACCTGGCTTTTTACCAAGACCTTCCCAAACACCACCCTTTTGTAAAATTATGCTGGCCCACTGGCTGCCATCCTGTGTTTCAGACTGGTGATTATATGGGGGTGGGGGGTGGGATAGGGTTCTGTTTGTTTTCTTTTAATATGTTTTATATGGTTTAAATATTTTAGCTGTATGTTTTATAATATTTTGTAAGAGTAGTGGCATGCTCGCTAAATGGACATGGTATATATCGAAAAAAATTGTCAAAAAACAAATTCCACTTAACTTACCACAGCATGGAGAGAGTCAATTTCCATCTGCATCTGATGCCACTGGCGTCTAGCTTCGTTTAGCTCTGCCCTGGCTGCTTTTAGCACTTCTTCGTCTTTGCTCATTCTTTCACTAGTGGCTGCTTCAAGCTGCAAGGAAGCATTCCCACTTTTAGTCCAGCATCCGAGTGAGGGTAAAAATGGATGTTACAGATAATCTGTCATTAGCAGAGGAGTTCCTTAACTGCTGAAAGCATCTAAGGGCGGAAACAGACATTAAAAATAGCCTGAGATCACTGTTGAAAGCATATTAATGCTGGCGAGACGGTGAGTGAAACAGTCTTTCATGGCTAAGAAATCAGATTCCAAAGGAAGTCCATGATTAAATCTATCACAAACAAAGCTAACTACTTTGCAAATTGTATAAGCTGAGAAAACTGCTCTGCACTTATGGTCAGATCAACCGTAAAGGCAAAAGGGTATTTCCTCCTCATAAAATTTTCCCTCCAGACATTGCAAGTTTTTCAGTGCTGTGCGCATGAGACATCAGACCTGCAAGCGAAGCTGTACTATCCCCAAATTACCAATCACAAAACAAAAGAAGATGAATTTGCCATATTTCTACTGGGGTGCATAGCAGGGGCTTTCTTCGCTTTATGTAATTTCAAAATTAGCCTGCTTTGTTTTGTGATTGGTTTCAGGACTGAATAACATGATTTCTGAGAAGTCTGTTTCTCATATGTATTATTATTATTTGTCTGATACATGTCTGAAGCATGTCTCTCCAATCCTCACATACCTTTAGAGCACCAGCTGCTTTGTTTTCACTGCCACTGAAAATTTCAGCATAGGTCATGTGAATGAATCACATGTTTTTGAAATTAAGCATACTCAGTCTAAAGAAGTGTATTTTGATCAATGAAAGCTCACACTTAAAGTGCTACAGTATTTTGCTCTCCCACCCAATTTTGTTAGGAAGCACATATTGGGGCTTCTTTACTTGGTTAACTAATCTGACATTGCAATTCAGGAGATGGAAATTATGAATTTAAATCCTGGTAGCCACAAAAAGCTGACATCCGCTGCAATTTGACCCTCCACTGTACAAAATAACCAAGCACCACTGTATCTTAGAGCCTTGCACTAGTGTTTTACTATGTGAAGTCTCTGTGTTCTCACTCATACATCCGATGAAGCTTACATTAAAATATAGTAGTTAATCTTTAAAGTGCCACAGCTTCCTTTTGCTTTTGCTTTGTTTTGTGTTTCTTGTTGAAATGTCTGCACAGATTAACATGACTGAAACTCCAAAAAGTATTATAAAAAAAGAACATGTACGTTATCTATTTCCCATATGCTGAAGAATCTAAATTGTCACTGGCTGGATCGAACTCTGTTTCTAACTTAGCCGACATTCTTAGCTAATGACACATAGTGACACATGCCTTAGTTATATCTCAGCTAGATTGCTTCAGCAGTGGCTGCCTTTGAAAAGTGTCTGAAAACTCTAGCTTGTTCAAAACTTGACAGCCGCTTGCTGGTACATATCAGGAATGTGTCACTTCACTGCTGAAACAACACTGCTGGGTCCCTATTTTTTTTTTTTTTTAGCTCAGAGCCTGTCTACATTTCCAAAAAAACCCCACCCCACAATACAGTATGTAGTGTTTTAATTTTAGCCAACTCAAGTCACGTGGTTTTTGAGTCATTTCCTGCATTCCTCCTACTGAGCAATTGAAATGCTGTCTTTTAAACCTGGCTGTAACATTCACATGAGCATAAGTGTTAAGAAAACAGTGTGCTACAGTGGACCCTCTACTTAAGGAATTAATCCGTATTGGAATGGTGGCTGCAAGTCGAAAAGTCTGTAAGTCGAATCTCCATTGACCTACAATGCACTGAAAACCGATTAATCCCATAACCAGTGGTTTTTATTCTATTTTTATTCCATTTTGGTTTTTTTCTGGTCTGTAAGTCGATTCTCTGGCTGCAAGTCGAATCTAAATTTTGCAGTCAGAGAAGTCTGTAACTCGAAAAGTCTGTAAGTTGAGCCGTCCGTAAGTCGAGGGTCCACTGTAATATCAACAGCCATCTGGTGGCCATTTATTTTAACTTGCTTCCTAAGAAAATAATCCAATCTGGAGGAAAATAAATACACACCATGGAATTCATTGTGTGAATGTGAAACTGTTTTAACACAGGTCAGATCCCAGGTTTTTTTGGCTGTGTGACAAGGCCCTTAAGTTTACAGTAGTGGAATTACCGTTAATACCTGGCCTGTAAGGTTTAAGACAGGGTAATCAGAAAGTCTGCCTTCCTCATTCTGAGCAAGTCTTCTCATTTAGATCATCCATACAGAATCTCCTGCCTGTCTCAAACTAATGCTTGCCTAGAAAAAGAGAGAGGACTGAATCTTTTATTTTGGAATTATCTGATTAAGGATAACTCTCCTTCTTATTGATGTTCTGCTGCAACATGGACAGCTTCCTGTTGAGGAGTGCTTCTGGCTTTTAAAGCCTTGACTCTAGGCTCAGCAGGGTCGCTGCAGTGTGCTGTACTTGTCAGACTTACTGGGCTAAATCCAATTGTTAGTCTACAGTAGACCTATTAAAATCATTGGGATTTATATACCGTACATGTTGATTTAACAAGCTGCATTATATCACTGATTCTTCAGTAGTTAGGACTGACAATTGAATTTAGCCCACCACTGTTGCTGATCTGTGCCATCAAGTAGCCTCTGAGTTATGGTGATCCTATAATTAAGGACCTCTGAAAGGTCATTTTATTAACAGCTGTGCTCATATCTCATAGGCTGTGCCTTCTTTTATTGACTCAATCCATCTCATGTCCCTTGTACTGTCCTGGCAGAGTAAATCATGCTCGTGAATCTCTGTTAACAGATTTTTATTTGCTGTTAAGTATTTCTACTTCTTGGGTCATTATTCTTGTTGGGTTTATTTGTTCTCTGGTTGGTTGATTTTTATTGTAACTTAATATTCTTACTGTAGCTGTCTTAGACTGTACAAGGGATGTTTGGATAGGAATAGCTCAAGTACATTACTTTAGCCTTCTCAGTATATTATGAGTAAGCATGTGTGGTGGCTTCTCCACTTCTATAACTGATGTGTACTGAATACAAAGTTCACCACAGCTATATTAAACAAGAGCATTTTCCTCCCAATCGATTACAGTTTCATCAGAAGACACCAGAGATTATCCCTTTGATCCCTGTTGCATCTTAATTGCTAGCTTCATTGTCTTGCTCTTCTGTACACAGAACTGTAGAATTGGAAGAGTCATCAGGTCCAATTCACAACTACTGCAGGAAATTCACAACTAAAGTACAGTATTCATGACCAATACACATTCAACTTCTGTTTAGAAAACTCAGGAAGGGGAATCCACTACTATTGTCCATTCAATTGCCAAACAGCTTTTGTTACAAATTTCTTCCTAATCTTTAATTGAAATCTCATCTCTTGTAATTTGAATTTATTAATCCGGATTCTACCCTCTGGACCTGGAGAAAACAAGCTTGCTTCTTCTTCTGTGTAGCGGTCCTTCAGATATTTGGAGTAGAGATGGGGGTATTTGTATATGAATACCCTCACACAGATGGACATACCGAGGACTGTCCACTCACCTGTACGCTGCTGCAGCTGGCTCTGTGCTCCCTTCCGATTGCTCCAAAGCTCGTGGTCGACTAGCCACTCCTGGCAGAAGGAGGGAAGACGAGCCTCCCTGCGAGGCTGACGAGTGGCTAGTCAATATGAGCTGACAAGTGGCTGGTCAACCATGAGGGGGGCTGGACCGTTATGTTCACCTGTGTGGGGGTATTCATATATGAAAACGAATAGCCCCATCTCTAATTTGGAGACAGCTATCATATACAGTGGTGCCTCGCAAGACGAGTGCTTCATTTAATGAAGAAATTGCATAACGAAGAAGTTTTTGCAATCGCAAGAGCGATTGCAAAACGATGTTTCCTATAGTTTGTTTTCACTAACCGATTATCGCAAAACGAAGATTTCCGCACAGCTGATCAGCGGTTTCAAAATGGCCACCGGGTTCAAAATGGCCACCGGGTAAAAAAAATGGCTGCCCGCTGTTTTCTGGGACGGATTCCTCGCTGCACGGGCAGCGAAAATGGCCACGCTATGGAGGATCTTCGCTGGACAGTGAGTTTCAAGCCCATAGGAATGCATTAATCGAGTTTTAATGCATTTCTATGGGCTTTTAAAAATCGCTTTACGTTCTACAGCGATTTCGCTGGAACGAATTAACATCATAATGCGAGGCACCACTGTAGTGATATATATATCGAGTTTTAATGCATTTCTATGGGCTTTTAAAAATCGCTTTACGTTGTACAGCGATTTCGCTGGAACGAATTAACATCATAATGCGAGGCACCACTGTAGTGATATATATAGTGGAGCCAGAGTTCATATTGTCAAAGCTCTCACTTTCTCAATGTATACAAGTGTGACATTCCTTCCAGGCTTCCCTGTTCTCTCTGAACTGAGTTGCAAGCCTCTTAGTAGCTGGTACCATGTTTCCCTGAAAATAAGACAGGGTCTTATATTAATGTTTGCTTCAAAAATGTGTTAGGGCTTATTTTCAGATGTTTTATTTTACAGTCATATCATCTTCTTCTAGTTGCTGCACACTGTTGAACAGTGGTGGAGGGTGGGGTTTCACTTAACGGGGATGTATTTTTGGGGTTGAACTTATATTACAAACATGCTGAAACATCATACTAGGGCTTATTTTCAGGTTAGGTCTTACTTTCGGGAAAACAGAGTAGCTGGACTTCATATTCCATAATTGTCCATTCTGGGGGAATCTATCTAATAGACAGACACCTAAATGTGGCTCACCTGGGAGAAAGAGCTAAACTGAAAGCTTTGTGGCGTTGCTAGGCCTAATTGTTCCCAAGCTTCCTGTTCCTCCTTCGATGATAGCTAGGAGCTTTTTTTCTAAACAGGAAGCTAGATGGAGCTAGGCCTAGGCCTCTCTCCTAGGTGAACCACATTTATCTATTAAGTAGAGTTTCCAGAATGGTGAATTATGGGATTTGTACCCTCCTTCAAAAAATCTCATCCATAGTAGTTGCAAATTTTCCAGGAAAAGTATATTGTTGCAAG